CTTTGGGTCCATTTCAACTCAGTGCTACACAGCAACATTCTTTGGAAATGGACATTATGCTTGGAAAAGTGGAGGGCTGGTGAAAGAGAGGAAGCTCTTCAACCACACTGATGACACAGTGACTGCTGCGATAGAACAGTGTTCACATCTGTTGCTCATAGGGTTGCTATGAGTCGTACTTGACAGCAACTAACAACATATGCTAAGAGAGAGCTCTAGTAGCTTAGTGGTAAGGAGTTGTGCTGACCTACCAAAGGCACATGGTTCAAATCCACAAGCTTGGAGAGCTCTGGTGGCCTAGTGGCAAGAAGCTGCAACTGCAATCTCAGAGATGCATGGTTCAAATCCACCAGATGCTCTACTGGAGAAGGAGGAACAATCTCCTCCTGTACCAGTCAGATCTGATTTGACGGTGAAAGGAAAATTTTTTAAACAATGTCCCCAAATCCAAGTATTGTAAGAACCTATACCTTTGATCTTGTGTGAATGTTTGTGTTCCAGGAACTAGCTGACCACAAATTGAAAAAACAATTACTGGCAAAAACCATATTTTAACTAACGTCAGCAGCAGGTAACTGACATAAAATGGAACTTCTCCTTTTCCAAAGAGCCAATGAGTTAATTCCACGCCAAAGAACCCCTAGACCTTGTATAAATTCCCTTGCTTTTTGGGGCTCGGGGTCGACTTCCCTGTCTCCTGTGTGAGATACAAGTCGTCCCAAAGCTTCATCAATAAAGCCTCTTGTGATTGCAGTGAGTGGATCTGGTGTGAGTTGCTCGGGGTCGTGCCCGGTCTGGGAAAAGCCCTAGTTTGGGGTCTTTCAATGGTACACACAAAAAATAATGAAATAAAAGAAAAAAAAATGATTACAAAAAAAATTATTACAAATCTGCAAGCTTCTCCTCATGAGAAAGGTGATCAGTTTCTTCCTGTGGGATTAACTGTTTCTGAAAACTCACTAGAGGGTCAGCTATAAGTTATTTCTCAGTTGACAGTACACAACAATACATGCCAAGTACTTGTCAGAGTACTTATATATAATCCTCACAACCACCCTATGTGGAATGTACTATGATATTTCCATTTTGTAGATGGTAAAACTGAGGAACAATATAGAAAAGTTAACCAATCAGCTAAAATTTATGGAGCTAGTTTATTCTGTAAACTTCCACCTTAATTACAATAGTAAATAAATATATAAATAAAAGGATCTTGAAATATACAGAGAAGATGACTAAAGTCTTTCTCATCTCTAACTACACTCATTATAAAAGCTGTTAAGTATTTTTACCACTCCTCTCATTGATTCTTCTGGAAGCAGGAATGGCATCCACTTTCTAAACAACATGCCTCTAGAAACTCTATGAACTTTGATAAATGACGATAGTTACAGAAAGGGTTCAGGCCTTTTGTTCATAGGGTCGTTATGAGTCATGCTCAACTCAAAGGCAATGAACAACAACAGCAACAACATTGATTCCTAGGTCATCTTCCAAGCCCTAACACAAATGCTACTTTCACTGCAAAGCCCTTCTCGATCCTCTCATTTTAAAAGAATCTCTTTCTTCTCTGAACATCATAGTATTCATCCCTACCAATCTCATGGAATGTAATTATGTCATTGTTATATATGGCATACATATTTTATGTGCATCATTTATTTTTTATTATTTTTTAAAAATTAATTTTAATGAAAGTTTACAGAAACTTAGGGTTTCCTGTCGTTCATTGTTGCATTTTTCTCCCTACACACCCCCTCCCCCCAATTCATCTTTCACCTTGAAAAGAAAGAAAAACTCTTTCATTTGTTATGCAACCCCTTCCTCCCGCCAAGTCCACTCCACTATACAGCCTTCACTCTGGACTTCTGTAATGACAAGAATACCCATTCACATATTCCTTTTAAACAGTACTCTTCCTCATCTGTTTCAATGCAATATACATCATTCCTCCCCTCCTTTTCTGTCTCCCCTCAATCCTGATGTCACTCCCGTTTCATAACAGGGGTCTTATGCAATATTTGTCCTTTTGTGACTGAGATATTTCACTCAGCATTATGTCCTCCAGGGTCCTCCATTTTGCATAATATTTCATTAGTTCCTTGTTTTTCAATGCTGCATAGTATTCCATTGTGTCAATATAGCAGAGCTTCTCTACCCATTCATTTAGTTGATCGGCACTTGGGTTGTTTCCAGCTCTTTGCTACTGAGAACAAAGCCACAATAAACATGGGTGTGCATCATCTCTCTTTTTAAAGTCTGACCCAATTTCTATTCTCCACAATTCCTAGGCTGGTGACTAAATTTATTAACACTAACTAAATCTACATAGCACTTATTCTTTGCAAGGCCCTGTGCTAAGTATTTTATAGGAATCTTTTAATAAAATCCTTATTCTTATTGTTAGGAGCCATACAGTAGACTATGACTCATAAGTGACTTCTGAACAAAAGGCTGTGTCATGCTCACAATCCCTGCTATGCTTGAGCCCATTATTGCAGTCACTGTTGTCAGCCCATTTTGTTGAGAATTTTTCTCACACTCTCCTTCTCCAGGCATATCTTTCCCCAAGGACTGTCACCTGTTGACAACCTGCAACCAGTATTTTCACAAGACTAAGTTTCATTATTCTTGCCTCAAAGTAGCCCTCTGGCTGTATTTCCTCCAAGATAAAGATTTGTTCTTTTGGCAATCCACTGAATGTTTAAGACTTTTCACCAACACAATTCAAAAACAAACTATCCTTCTTTCTTCCTAATTGATTACTTAATTCATTCCTTCAACTGATATTTTTAGCTCCTACTGTGACCTGAAATGCTGAATGCATCTTAAACTCAGTAAACAAAATTAATACACAAACACTCCCTACCTTTAAAGAGCTCATAGCCTAGGAAGGTTGATTCTTTGGTACCTCTGGGTCATAGAGATGAAAACAAAAAAAGGCTCAAAGAGAAATTCAGTAATCTGTTTTCCCAAAATCTCACAGCAAGGGAAAAAAAGTGGCAAACCTAGGTCTCCAAATTAAATTCCAGACACTACACACTTAAGTAGTCAGGATGTTTTAAAGTGTTTGATAAAGTCAGAGGAACAAGATTTAGAATACTAATAATATTTTTTAAATCACAAAGATAACAGTAAGTTTCACTTAGCTGTTACTCTTTTTTTCTGAAAGGCAGGCAGGAAAATGAGCAAAATGTTCAAGGGGAAATGGCAGTAGTATCCTATACTCACCTGATAGTTGAGAGCTGCTAATTCAGGGATCTGTTGAGACTAGTTGAGGTTGAGGACATCCTCAATCCTGTTGTGTCCCTTAACTTGATTCCTCCTTCGCACCTGAAGGAGACAGAATGGTGTAGTTTAATCACTATTTAGTGAGACCTTGGGCCCCATCTTCCAGATACCAGAGTGGAGTGAAAGCTGTTAAGAAATGTCTTTATCTAAACATGGTGCAATTATTCTTGAAAGGTGGGTTCAAACCTCCAACAGACAAAACCTCAAAACTTTTTCTCTGTTAACTTTTACTCTTAAAAAATAATCCATTGTTTTTTTTTTCCTCTTCAAAAAACTTTTTTAGTCTATGTTGCTGCCTCATTACAGTACCAAGAAACTTTGAAAATTGACTTTTCTATCCCTTGCATATGCTCCCATTGGGGGCGTAGTCTCCAGCTACCTTAACTGTGGACATATGGTCTGGCAAATCATCAACAGCTGTGGAATCAATGTAAGAGAGAGTCCTTTGCACACTGTGAAAGATAGTGGTGGAGAGTAGGTGAAGAGACTGTAGCACTGCTGTTTACTGTGGCAAGGTGTAACCAGAGGAAACTTGGAGACAAGAGCCACAGTTAAGGTCTTGTTTGATCGATGATTGAAGGAAAAGCTGACTTGTAACTGGTCAGAGATAAAAGTTTGCTGGACTAATTAAGGAAACCAAAGGTTTATTTGTGCCGCTGAACTCAACCTGGACTTTCACTTGCTGAGAAGCTGTCTGAACTAATTAAGGAATTGTGTCTTGCTATTATTTTGGCTTGGACTTCTGTACTAAACCTGGATTTACATTGTGTGATATTCTTTGCCTCTCCCACTCACTCCCCAACCGATTTTCCTAATAAACCCCATAACTGTGGAAAACAAAACAAACAAAAGAGTGCTAATTCTTATTTCTTCCTTCAATAGTGAGAAGTTAGGAAAGACTAATCAGGAGCGAGCGGTCAAGAAGCGCGGCGTCAAGCTGAGGGCTGCTTATCCCTCCGCCAACAAGCACCAACATTGTTGGCCGCAGAGCCTCTCTGGAAACATTATTGTGTGGGCAGCATTTTTTTTTTTACTATTCTAGCCGTATACTAAAACCAAACTGAAAGAGGTGCCTGAAGCCAACCTATTTTCCTCAAATGTATGTTTGGCCAACAGCAAATCACCTGGTTTTACACCAGTTGTATCAGGGACAAACCCCAAGCCGAGTGAATCTAGAAACAAGCAGAACAGATTCCTCTCAGAGGCAAACTGAGCGGGGAGCTCGACTTTGACGTCAGCGTTGTCCCATTGGCTGCCAGCTCCCGCCCCGCCCCCTGCGTTCGACAGCGGGAAAACCGGAGCGCACCGGTCGCGCCACAGACGAAGGAGGCGTGGTGGGCGCAGGCGCCCCGCCCCTCCCCGCCTTGCCCCTCCTCCTTCCTATCGCTTGCTGCGCCGGCGCCGGGAGCTGCAGCCTCTGCCCAGCTGTGTGACAGTGCTGAGCGCATGCGCCTGAATAAGTGGGCCTGGTGAGGTTCTTCCTTCACCCCCAGGAGAAGGGAAGATGGAAAGGGGAATGGTGGGCCCCAGGCCTGGCGCCGGCTGAAGTGCGCCTTAGGGTGGGGCGGAGATAGATAGTCGACTTGACAGGGGAATGAGGCACGGGGAGAGCTGGATGGCCGGGGCAAGGGATCCCGAGCCGGAGCGAGGCCCTGGAGTGGGAGGCGCGCTGACGAGCCATGTGTGTGTAGGTGCTCGTCCAGAGAGACATGGAGAACTGTCTGGCGGCCGCGGTGCTGAACGGAGTGGACCGACGTAGTCTGCAGCGTTCAGCCAGGCTGGGTCAAGAAGTGCTGGAGCGGGCCAAGAAGAGAGCAGTGAACTGGCATTCGCTGCAGCTCCCCAAAGGCACCATGAGGGTTCTGACCTCGGAGGGGACCGACCAAGAGAGACGGCTAGTGGCTGACCCCCAGCGCCTTCTCCCAGGAGAGGTGAGGTTCCCCATGCGAGGGACCAGCCCACTCATTCGCCTCACCGAGCCTGTTGGGGAACGGGAACGTGGCGAGCAGAGGCACCAGAGAGATGCTTTCCTTGGCAAAGGCTGGAAAGCATCGGGGACTGGGATGCCCAGACACAGTGAATGGAAACACTCATGAAAGCTTTACTTTTCACAGATTCTTACTGGGTAGCTCTAGGATATCAGTAGTGCTTTTAAAGTCCTAGATAAGTTGCATGTCTGTGTTACATTCTTACATAAAGCGCCTTGTTCCTGGCAGCTAACCAAAGCATTTCAAATCCACCAAGTTCTCTGTGGAAGAAAAAAATCACTTTTCCCCTTTCGTAAAGATTTACCACCTGGGAACCAATTGACAACAATGAGTGGGTGATCCTTTGTTGTTGGAATTCTTTCTCTGGAATATCCTCAAGGACTTCTACTTGTAGAGACTTAGAAAAGTAAAAAAGAAGCCATTCCCAGAATGGTTTCATTCTCGAATAGGAAATCCCTGACTTAACTTGTGACTTGTCATTTGTTCAAATAGAGAGAAGAGAGATGCCCTACCCTCAATGCTTCCTTCAGAACAATGGCTGAATTCATGGACTATGCTTCTAGTCAGTGTGGGGTAAGTTAGCATAAGCCTGCTGGCCCTGCTGCCAAAGGATCAAGACGTGGATCTTTCTGGAATTTAGGAAATTGTTTATCCTGCCCTGAACACCAGTTGTAATCAGATAAACCTCTAAATCAGATGATAAATCCAAGTTAGAATTCATTTAACAATGCTTCACAATACATGATGTTGAGGGCACAGCAATGTATATGTAACAAGAAGTCGCTGCTCTCACTAATGCTTATTTGCAAAGTATCAAAAGAATCAAGACCGAATAGTAGTGTGTGTGTTTTTAATTTTGATGCAGTGTTCAAAACCAGATAACCCTCAAGAATCACTTTAAACTAAGTCTCAGTTTTCAGATTGTGTTGAGAAAAAATCTCAAAACCACCACATTACATCTTAACCTGTAATATACCTGGTAAAGTAACCTTTAAGTTTGCCCCTATGGATCCATTTTAGTTGTTAGTAACAGAATTGATCATTTTATGAAGTAAATGCACCATCCTTCTTGGAGGTTGGAGAAAAAAGAGTGTCACTTAATGGAAGGACTGAGTATCCCAGGAATCATACCCATGTTCTACCCCATTCCTTGCTAGAATGCCTTAGGTCTTTTAATCTCACTTGGCTTTACCTTCTCCATCTTTAAAATGAAGATCTCTAAAGTCCTTTTCATCCTTAACAGTAGTATCTTTGGTTTTCACTGAGAGGTGAACACCAGAAAATTGGCTTAAACTGAACATAAGGGATATTGCTGAGATAAAAAGAATATGTCATTGCTTAAAATGAGTGAACAAAGGTTTTGAATCTTACGTGGTTGGTTGTAAAAATCCTAGTGGAAAAGAGAGAAAGACAAGAATATCTTGTTTTTATCCTGATTTTCAGTTTTGTATGCTAAGATCTCACGAAATTTCTACTTTTCCTACATCTTCTCTAAAATCTGACCCCAGAGCAGAATCTCAACCAGTGAGATATGGTTGGGAGAATATTTTGTTAAGTGGTTTTAGAAAATTCTGTTGACTCCAGTTTACTGTAAAGTGATTAATTTTTTAAAAAAACCCCACACACTTTGGTTCATGGCTCAGTAAAAGAAATAATATTTGTCTATGGTTTGAGGTTTCGCAAATTGGTTTTCTTCATTTTGGTTTTCAGGTCATGCTTCAGTTCAACTCTCTGTTATGGAATGTAGGCTTAGAATTCCTTGGCTTTCTAGAGATGGAATGGGGAACAGTCTTCAGAGTTTGCCTTCACAGCTTTGAAGCATCTCCTAAAATGCCTAATTAGATCTGTATCCTGAAATGTTTACCCTAACTTCTTATTCTTCTGGTCGCATGCCTTTGACCCTGTCCCTACGCCTTGTTCAAAACAAGTAGGCTTGTTATAATTTTCATTAGTCATCATTAGTCATAATCAAGTGCAAATACAAGGTTAATCTCAGGGGGCATAAAGGAAGTTGACAAGGAAAAAAATGTAACTGCTTTCTGATCTTTTGTAGATTTTTCCCTTAAACTGGAGATCTTTCTTGCATTATTTCTAAATTCCAAAGAGCTGCACTCCTTGCTTTCCTTGTTGTCGTCTGAGGCTTAAAAAATAAACATAGAACTTCAGTAGGCCATAACAGGAGATATAAGGGCTTATGTTTGCATTTTACATTGAGGTAAAGGATTATTTAACATGGCAGAGAGCATGGTCCTGCTTAGCTTTAGTCAGCCAGCTATCTTGCCCTATAGAAGCACCAGATGGCAGCAAAGTAATGCCAAATTCAGTTTCTTTGTAGCCACTTTTCATGGGCTAGGCTTTGTTATATGATTTCAGATGCCTACACATGGGACAGGTAGCTTACCTCTTGTGCCTCCTCCCTTAACTGTACTTTGCTCAAGTATCAGAGGTATTTGTTTTGTTTTTTAATTTTATTTCCCATCATTACCCGACATCTTTCACATTACTTCTCTAGAAATATTATGCATCGATGCCAGAGGAAGGAGGGGCAAACCACGTATATCGTTACCACAGAGGAAAATCAGAGTCCTCCTCATGCTCAGACTTGAGAAATGGTCAGGTATGTATGCTTCGTTGTTCTGCTTTGTGTCTTCAGCCAATTAAGATGTGAAACCCTGATAATCTTTAGACTTAAACCAAAAATGTCCTCTGAAATCTTCTTTAAACCAAACGATAAATTAGCTGTTTTAGTAACGAGTGTTTACCTTGATCGTTGTGCTCTTTTGAAGAAATCTATCTGGGATCAAATTGACTAACAGTAACTCACAAGGTTGGATAGGAAGCTTAGGAGGCAGTGATTCATGTTAATGGGGAAAGAACACTTTGAAAAAATGCGGTGTCTGCACAATTTGAAGAAAGTAATCAGTTGCTGAATGTATGTGAGAACTCTGTGTTATGGAAATCCTGCTTGACTTTGTCTTGATTGGATGTCTGTATGACAAAGTTCACAGTGGTCAACAGAGATGTATCAACTTTAAGCCTCAAGAACTTATAATAATAAACATGATTTAGGAGTTTGTTCAAGCTATTAAGACTGATACCACTATATTCAATTAAAACGTCTATCCTGGACCAGGAGGGGTTTTGGCAGCCTTAAAGAATTTTAACTGTATTCTTTTATAGCTAATGATTGCATGGTACATTCATTATGTGCTGGACAACTAGCATAATAGACCATGTGACTGTTGAATTCAGTATGGCCCATGCTTGTCCATCTTAGTTCACTGACATCTAGAATGTCAATCTTGATGCATTCCATTTCCTTTCTGACAACTTCTATTTTTATTATACATTCATACTATGTACATTCCATGTTTAGTTTATAGCTCACATTGAACTGAAAGGTTGACATTTTACATCCACTAGCTACATAAGAGGAAAAAGCTGAAGCACCAGCAGCTCCACAGAGGGGAAAATGGGCAATCTCTTCCATGCAATTTACAGCTTCCTGCAAACCCACTAATGGGTTAGCTATGAGTCAGTTCCAACACAACAGCAATGAGAGTTTGGTCTCTAGCTGTGGCCAAAACATACAGCTATCAAGCCAATTAAAAATTTATAGTCTCAAAAACCCAGTGTGGATTGCCATGGATTGGTATTGGCTTGATAACTTAATTCCTAGCAGGTCAGAGCTCCATAGGGATAACTAGGAATAGAGTAAATGTTTAGTAACCTTGTTATCCTGTCTTGTGCAGTCAAGTTGACTGTGCCTCCTGGTGATTTTATAGGACAATGTAGACTGCCCCATATGGTTTCTAAGGCACAAGCAAATTGCCACATCTTATTATGAGGCCACTGGTAGATTCAGACTTCTGACTTTCTTGGTTTTCAGCTGAGCAGTTAACCACTACACCACCGGGTTCCTATCATGTCTTTGATAACTTTTTAATAGAGAATGCAAGAAGTTCTCTGTTTTAACAAAGCACTTGTAAAATGAGTGTAGGTAGCCTAGGAATGGCTGAGTCTGACATCTGTGAGCTCCACAATAGTGAACTATCCCCATCAATAGCACCCATAATATAAAACTAACTCCATTGTGGTTGGAAATGGTTTCCACATGCCTACACCTACGTCTGCCCACTTCAACACCAATCTTACTATACTATTGGATCTAAAATCTGTTGCAGTAACCACACAGACTTAACAGAATCATACTCACAGTTAAGGAGATTTATTAGAGAAGTTAACAGTCTATAATTCAGGTTGGTGGCAGGGTACAATTCTCAGTCCACATAGCTTCTCAGTGCTACCAAGGTGAAGGTGGTATAGCATTGGTCTATGTGTTGCTGCACAGAGGTAACTCGTGGTTGCTGTGATGCTGAAGACTGTGACAGTGATGTGCCAATCGTGGTAACGGGTACCCATGGTGGACAGTGTTGGCTGGAGCTTCCTGACTAAATCAAGCCTGGAAGCAGGAGCGACATCCACTTCCGAAATGGCTTGCCTCTGGAAACTCTATGTACGAACAGTGCTCAGGCCGTTCATTCATAGGGTCACTATGAGTCGTCTACTACTCGACAGCGTCAAACAAAAATAACACAGCTTCTCAAGCATGGTTGGAGGCCCTTTTACCTTCAGTCTCGTGACTTAGGTCAGTGCTATAAAATTCCATTAGTCCTGCCAATTATGGCACCTTCCTCAATCCTCCAGCAAACTTGGGTGAAGGCCTTTAGCTCTGGCTCCATGGGGCAGCAGTCCCCAGTCAGCTCTGTTTCATGTTGGTCTCTGGTTCTGTGCTGAAGCACCTGTTGTTCCTGCATAGATCTCAGTCTAACTGGTACAGGAATCTCTGGCTCTAAAGAATGCACACTGCTGCCTCTTCTTTGTTTAGTATTGAGATTCTCAATTTCTGCCACTGAAACAATTGATTTAAACCTAATAGAATGGCAAGGCTAGCCAGTCACTTGGTGGGTAAATTAACATACCCTATCTGTATGATCCTGCCCATCCATATGGCAAAATTGGTGGCTAGGAAAGCCATTTTGAACAATAAACACTTGACTCTGACACTACTTTTATTCTCTTTTCCCAAAGATAATAAAAATGATAGGCCTTTTACTTCAAATATGTTGCTTTTACTACACATCATTCTGAGGAAAGCCAAAAGTTTCACTTATCAAGCTGATTCAACAGAAAGTTTTTTATATTTTTAAAAAGAAATACTTGAGGGGGTGTTATTAATTTTAATGAAAGTTTACAGAGACTTAGGGTTTCCTGTCATTTATTGTTGCAGTTGTCTCCCTGCTCCGCCCCCCTCCCAATTCACTCTTCTCCTTGAAAAGAGAAAAACTCTTTCATTGTTATGCAATCCCTCCCCCCAAGTCCACTCCATTCTGCAGCCTTCACTCTGGACTTCTGTAATGACAAGAATATCCATTCATATATCCCTTTTAAACAGTTCTCTCCCTCATCTGTTTCAATGCAATATACATCATTCCTCCCCTTTTTCTGTCTTCCCTCAACTCTGATGTCAGTCCCGTTTTACAACAGTGGCCCTATGCAGTATTTGTCCTTTTGTGATTAAGATATTTCACTCAGCATCATGTCCTCCAGGGTGTTCCTTGTTTTTCAATGCTGCATAGTATTCTTTTGTGTGAATATACCAGAGCTTCTCTACCCATTCATTTGTTGATGGCACTTGGTTTGTTTCCAGCTCTTTGCTATTGCGACACCTATAAACATAGGTGTCCATATATCTGCTTGGGTGGCAGTTATGGTTTCTTTAGGGTAACTTCCCAGTAGTGGAATTGCTGGGTCAAATGGTATTTCTATTTCCAACCTTTTGAAAAAGCGCTATACAGCCTTCTGTAGTGGTTGCACCATTTTACACTTCCACCAAAAGTGAATAAGGGTTCCAGTTTCTCCATGATCTCACCAGCATTTACTGTTTGCTGTTCTGTTAAATTTTGCTATTCTGACTAGGGTGAGATGAAATCTCATAGTTGTTTTGATTTGCATCTTAGAGCTAGTGATTTTGAACATTTCTTCATGTGTTTGTTTGCCATCTGAATGTCTTCTTCGGTGAAGTGTCTGTTCATATCCTGGGCCCATTTTTAAATTGGGTTATTTACTTTTATCTTGTTGTGGTGTAATTCTAGATAGAAGTCCCTTGTCAGATATGTCATATACTGAGAGATTTTAAATTCAGAATCTGTGTTAGATTCTTGACTATTTTTGGTCTACAGGCGTATTCAGATGTTAGAATGGAGGGATTTAGGAAAAAATATGAGTGAGAAAGAATACCAGCATATAACCAGTGGCTAAATTAATGATGGAAGTAGCTTAGTCATTTTGTCACTCTCTGTAATTCAAACACAACAGTAATCATAGCTGATATTACTGACTAAATTAGCTCACAGAATCCACTAAAAAGAGCTTTAATAATTTAAATGACAGGTTAGAAAAAGCTGACTGATCAACGCCAGCTTAGGAGGAGTCCTGGTAACAAAGTGTTTTAAGTGCTTGAATGTTAACTGAAAAAAATCAGTGGTCCCAACTCATGAGCCACTTCACAGAGATGTGGTAATCTGCTTCCATAAAGATTACAACCTTGGCAACCCTGTGGAGTATTTATACTCAGTCCTATAAAGTTTATATTAAGTCAAAATTGACTCAGGAGCACACAGTAATAATGTAGGAGAAAATTACTCTTTATAATCCAGGAGTCAAAGCTTGGCCACTAATCAGTATTTCTACTTCTCTCCTCAGAGACAAAACACAGCACTTGGCCTTGAAAGCATCTGTCAAGGATCACAGTGTGACCTACAAGCATCCCAGCCTGTGAGTATAGAACTTCTGGTATACTGGGTTTTACCACCTTTGCAGTTCCAGTTCCCTGGTTTATTATAGGGCTCTTTATACTGAGTCTAGTGTTTTTAAATTGAGATGTTCTTACATTTGGGGAAGGGTGCACAGCATTTTGGGTCAGTGTAAAATTGTTCCCTTCATATTCTTCCTTTACTTGAAGCTTCCAGGATCCTATTTGTGCCTGAACTCATATTTGTGGTTGGAAAGAATGTGAAGTATTCACATCTCAGTTTCTGTAGCTCAGCTGGGCTGGCTCTGGGTCTTGCTGTCCTGCTGGAATTTTACCATCTGTTCACACAGCAGGAGGAGCCTGACCTTCCTGCTTACAAAGTGAAAATCATTGCTAAAATTTTGAAATGTTCACATCTGGTTCGATCAGGTTCCAAAACATTTGAAGGGATTTGTTCCCATTATTCACAAATGAACAAATAGATTGATGGAGAGTTGTTTGTATTAAATTTCTGTTAAGGTTAGTAAAAAAATTTGGGAACCGAAAGTACTGATGGTTATACAACATAATATAATGTCACTGAATTGTATTTATAAAAATAGTTGAAATGACAAATACTTATATATGTTTTTATTATGTTTGTATTTATAAAATTTATGTCTATATCATATATGTACCTCTTCAATAATTTTTTCATTAATGAGTTGTTTTATAAAGATGAAGTACTCATTAGGTCAGCAATAAGTGGAATCTTTTGAAACTCCGAAGTGCCAGATTCTCAGGAAAGGAACGTCAGCATGTTGCTGGAATAATTAGCATTATTTTTATTTGTATGTAAAAATTTAATTTGCTACCAGTTAAGATTCAGAATATTCTAGGATAGTAGCAACTAAGAATATTCTGCTCCCAGATGAGATGGATTGGCACAGTAAGATAATGAAAATAGGTATGCCAGAGACACTGAGACTGGCTCAGGCTAGAGCAGAGTTCAGAGCTATTGTGCATAGGGTCACTATGAGTCACAGATGACTTGATGGCACATGACAACAACACTACAAATACAAGTTATTAGGCATAGATGCCTCCAACACACATGGTCTTTGGTAATGCTCATTCTCCTGATGTTCTGCAGTGTTGGAATCACAGATGTTTACCTTCTCCAGTGTTTCATTTCTTGCAAACGTATGAAGCATCCTTGACTTTCTTTTTTTTTTTCTTTTTTTGCATCCTTAACTTTCTATAATTCTGATACAGCTGTATTTTCTGAAACCTACCTTTTCATTTACACAGTTGACAACCAATGACAAGTTGTGGTCATATATCTTCCCAACAGTTAAATGAGACTAGACCTCTAGTTTTGTATCTGGGCAGAAAAGGATGCAACATTGGAAAAAATTGGCTTCAAATTTACCTCCAGTGTCAGAAGGGAGTTTAATTATTACATAAATATTATCTTTTTTTTTCTCCTAGGGGAGTTTGATAGTAATTCTGTTTTATTCCCTTGGATCTGGTGGTAGAAATGACAGCCTCTGCCTGTGGCTCCTTCCCAGCATTGAGTAAGCCTTAGTAGCATTCCTGCTGTCCTTTAGGCACTTAATTACAGGCTCTTTTTCTAGTTAATGTACTGTCCTTTTGCTGGTTGTACTGAGATTCCTCTGCCAACACACCTGCTGTGACCCACCTCCTAGCCAGGGGTGAAGTTTATCCTTGGAGGATGGTTTGTGCTTGTTACAGTTCTCAACATAATTTTTCCACAAACTCCAGCTTCTAGTGGTTTGCACACTAGGAAAACCAGTCCTCCAAGGGACAGTTTTGCCAGCTAGCTAATTTGCTGTTTTAGTGATAGAGTCTACACATAATATTTTCAGCTCTAGGAAAAAAGTTTCATCTTCCTAATGAAGATGAATAATGATAATGAATTTAGCAAAGCACAATTAAAAAGAATGGGCCTTGGCATTATTGCTAAGTTTGTGCTAACACTTACCACTTTGGATCCCCAAAATGAAAGTTATTAGCCTTTCCCTCTCCCTAGTTCTTTATGTTCTTTACAAAATTCTTCCATGTGTGCTGATTCATGAGGTTGTTGTTATGTGCCATCGAGTCGATTGCGACTCATAGCAACCCTATGCACAAGAGCCCTAAACCCTGCTCTATCCCTTGCCAATCTTATTGTCTCCCACACACCTATCCCTGTTATCCCAGTCACAGAATCAATCCATCTCATTGAGGGTCTTCCTCTCCGGTGCTGTCCGTTCACCTCCCAAGCATGATGTCCCTCTCCAAGGACTGGTCCTTCCTTGTAACATGTCCGAAGTATGTCAGACAAAGCTTCAGAATCCTTGTCTCCAAGGAGCAGCCTGGCTTCACCCTCTCCAGAACAAACTTGTTTGTTCTCCTGGGAGTCCATGGTATGTTCAGTACTCTTCTCCAGCACCACAGCTCAAAGGCATCTACTCTCCTTCCATCATCCCTAGTCATTGTCCAGCTCTCTGATGCATAGCAAGTAATTGCAAAGACCATGGGCTGTATCATAAGGTAGGTACTGTCAAGTTTTAGAATTGAGGACACAAGTATGAGAAACTGAGACTCACTTAGATGGCAGTATTGTTTTATAGTCAAGTGGACTTTGAAAGCAGAACCTCTTGTCTCTGTGCTTCTGATGCACAGATGATGCTGGCATATAAAGTCTCTGAACTGCTAATATCTTTTGGTTGCAGGCTGAGGACATCGCTAAGGACCTTTACATAGAAGTATATCCAGGGACCTACTCTGTCACTGTGGGTTCAAACGACTTAACCAAGAAGACTCTTGTGGTAGCAGTTGATTCAGGACAGAGTGTGGACTTGGTCTTCCCTATATGATATTAACCATTACCTGGACCTCACATCACTTCTTTTTAATTAGCCAGGAGAATGAAACACTATGGTTCTCTAATATTTACACAATTCTTTGAATGCTGACTGTAGAGGTTTAGCCTTCCTGGGATCTAGAACCTCTCTCTCTCAGTGCCTTTTTTAACTTGAGTGTGTTGAATACTCAACCCTCTGTGCCTAATCATAATAATCCAATGATGCTGTGTGAGCAAGTTTTAGTGCTTGCTTTCCAAGCAAAGGTTAATTATGGTAATAAAGGGAAAGATTTGCAAGTGAGAATTCCATTGTTTGGTGTTAATGTGTTATGTGCCGAAATAAATCTCATGCAGCTGTGGACTTTGTGACATAAGAGCCCATGGGCACATTTGCCCAAAGCATACAGACCATATACTGTAACTTATGTGGAAAAGACATCCCCCAGCAGATTTCCCCATGTCAAGGAGCCCTGAGCAGGCCTGCCACATTCTTGTGACCCAAATGTCATAGATGCCTTCCTGTTGCTCATCTCATGAAAAATCTTAATGAACTAAAGCTACAGCTACTTAATTATCACCTGTGGCCTGTACGCTTAGCTTTTCTTCTTAAAGACTTAGTCAACCACTCTTTGCAATTCTTCAGGTATTTAGCATTACTACTTTTTAGCTTCCTGTAAGAAAAAAAGGACTTCTGAGAGTCTTAAACTAATTGTAATCTTAAGAATTTAAAGTCAATGATTGTAAAGTTATTTTGACGTTTTAAAGCCACCAAATGCACAGGGCTTTTTCCTCTTCCACTTTAGTTGGCTGCTAACTTATCTCTTGTTGAATATAACACAACTTTCCTCAAGGAAAAATGCTAGCATTAATGTGTGATGAAAACGAAGTTTGGTTTCTTTTATTTTTTAAACAAAGTTTTTAAATAGGTTAGAGAGATGGTGAGAATGGCACAAGATAAGACAGAATTAGGTCATAAGGTTACTGTGAGTCCCCTGTGCCTCAATGCCACCCTAAGAGGGAAGAACAGATTCCTGTTGAGAGAATGCCTTGTAGACAAACCCACGTCCGTTGCCATGGATCTTTGCACACCCCTATAAGTCTCAGGTGAACTTTGAGTTTTATAAGCCTTTTGGAAATGTGTGCAAAGCTTATGGGCGGGGGAGTGTTTTCCTGAGTTTTTTAACATTCTTAAAAAAAGAACCTAGAACAGTCTTTAAGAAGCCCCTTTTGTATTCTCAGGGCTTTTCTTCTAAAGGGAATGCTTACTACTCTAGGTGTGTCACAGTACTGTATTTTCATGTTCAGTTTCCTATGGTAGGATCTATGGCTTCACAGTCATTTTTCAAAATCCAGCTCCTTGATATTCTCTCGTAAGTACAGTTTATATTCTCAGTTTATCAAAAATTAGTTATGTTGAATATGCCACCACTTTTATAGGATTAGCCTTGACTTGATATCTCTAGTAGAACTATAGAGGAATGTTGAATGTCTTAAACATTTGCAGGTTCCTAATGTTGTTCTTGTAAAGAGAAATTAAGCTTGTTAATCATATGTAGCTTTTAATGCCTTTTTTGAAGGGTTGCTATCTGATACCCAGATTTGGAATTGAATGAGAGTTGTTTTCAGATGCATTTTTCAAAAGAGCTGGTAGGAGGAACTAGCCAGTCACTACCAGTTGAAGTAGTTTTGAAATCACACTCATCATAAAGGAGAGAGGGGAAGCTGATGGAAAAAACAGCATCTTAAGTTGAATGACGCAAAACAAAAATAATGAGATGTGATTTCCTACAGAGCAATCTAAAAAGGAAAATCCTTTTGCAAAATCCATCTCCTCGGCTTTTAAAACAATAGTCTGATCCTTATTTTACTCATCAGCAGGGGAGGAAGGGGAAGGAAGGGCAAACAAAAAACAATATGGTCTCCCTGGAACTATTAAGATCAAAGAGTAGTAACCTTTCCCTGCTCACAACTGAAAGTAAGAAAAGGTGAGGAGAGAGAGCAGGAGGCTGTACAAGAGGATTAATTCCTAAGAAGCTGAACTCCAGGCTCAAGCATCAGTTCTTGATGGCTATCATTTCAGAAAAGCATAGCAGCACATTTCTTTAAAAGGATACAAATCTGGAGACATTGTTTCTGGCCCAAGCTGACAAGTAATTTTATGCACTTAATAGTATTTCTTGCATCTGACCAGGCTTGGAGATGGCCCCTTTCTCTAGACCTCATCTCGGGCATGTTCTCCTTATCCTTGGGTATAGGGCAAAGACTTAGTAAAGCACAAGTCCACTGATAATCATGGTTTTGCCTGAAGAATTGACTTTTTTTGAAACACAGTAATCTAAAGAAAAGCCAGGCAAATTACCTGACAATACAAGTACTATATTTCTCTTGTTGTAATCAGTTAATTTGTCTTAGATTTCATTTTGGGAGAAAGAATGTTGTGGGTCTGTCTAAAATATGGTGATGGGGAAAGGGATTAAATGTAGTTGTAGATTACCTTGGGCAACTTAAATAAAAGCAGTATATGCTTAGAGCTGGCCAAATTGTTTGGGCCCAGTTGGGTTTGAAAACAGTTTAGAGAAGTCAGAGCAGTTGGAACACAGGTTTGGGACCTCTGTGGAGGCTTGGCGACCATGAACTTTCAGGTAAGCCCACTGTCATTCTGTTCCTGAGGCTGGGCTTGCAACTGGCTCAGTTTCTCTCACAAGTTCCTTTCTTTTGGGTAAGTACAGCTTTTCTTTCTCTAGGCTGTGCTAAAACAGGAAGTGGTGGATATAGTGGAGATGTTAACATAAAAACTAGATTTTGGCATCATTTATATCATCATTCTTGTTGAGAGGACGCATCTCATAGAAACAGCTGTTTTCCAATAGTTTTTGCCAAGCCCTCCCACTGTGATGTCTCATTTCACAGAAGTCCAGGAACCACTTTATATTTTCATTACAAGGTATTCTTTTGGAGAAGAGAGGAAGAATTTAGCTGGTCATAGATGGATTCTCATCCCTCTGTTGTCTCCCTACCAGGAATGGGGAACAATTTCACACAGTGAAAGCCAGGAGATCCCAGGAGCCCCTCTAAAAACAATAAAGAGCTGTTCTGGAGCTCTGGTGGCTTGACTAGAGAGTTACGCTGCCAGCCCACAGGTAGGTAGTTCAAATCCACCAGCAGCTCCTTGAAAGAAAAGATGATTTGTACATGATTTATAGTCTCTGAAAACCTACTGGTTGGTCACCTATGAGTTGGTTCTGAGTTCATGGCAGTGAGGTTTTTTTCTTGGAGCTGTGAAGGTAGGCTTAACCCCTGAAAATTATTGCCCTGAAATAAGCTTAAACCATAAACCAAAAATATCCCTGAAGTCTTCTTAAAACTAAACAAAAGTTTAGCTTAACTAGTAAAATATGTCTGCCTTGAATATCATGCTTTTTAAAAACTAAATAGGATCAAAGACAACAGCAATTTGGAAAATTAGAATTTTGAGAACAGTGAGTTAATGGAAGGGGAACAACTTGGAAAAGATGAAAATGCATAATTCAAAAATCGAATCCATTAGTGAGTTGTATAGGAAATGAATTGGTATATATTCCCAACAAGAACAAAAATTTTCTTTCAAAATGTCTTGAGGAAAAGGCTAATTTATGTTGGGATTCACTTAAGAAAAAAAAATACAGCAGTAGACCCATATTGATACATCCCCACATATCCTACTAATTTAAGTTGGGGTTCACTTGAGAAAAAATACTACAGTATACCTATACAGCCCACCTTTCCTAAAGCCAAAGGTTAAAAATCACAATTTTTAAAATATGTATTATTTGGGCGGGCGGGGGGGGGGTGAAGATTCAAAATATTTCACTTAAGAAAGCTTTTCATTGTAGAAATCATTTTCTGGAACCAAAGACTAAGGGCCTTGCCCCCTAAGGCAGGATAAAAATCCTCATAGGCCGAAAGGTTCTTCCTCTTAAGCAGCTGTCCTGGAGGTAGGACAATTAAAACAGAAAGTTGGGCACCCTTAAGCCCTTGTTAGGTGCCGTTGAATCAGTTCCAACTCACAGAGATCCTAAGTACAGCAGCTTGAAACTTTGCCTGATTGTGTCCGTTCCTCACAATCTCAGCTGAGCTTAAGCCCATTGTTGCAATTACTTTGTCAGTTCATCTTGTTACTGTGGGCAAACTGTCAAGAGAGGCTAGCCCTTGGAAAATAGTATCATGCTTGGAAAGAGGGGCCAGCTTTGGAAAACAATATCATGTTTGAGGGTCACTGAAAGAGAGGAAGACTTCTTCTCTTAGCAGGTGATACTCCTTATGGTATCCTTTCCCTCAGTTACCCACCCTTCCCAGTATCCCAGCCTATCATCTAGCTCTGCCAGCTGTCTTGGCTGATGTAACCTGTTTCTGAATACACTTGGCAGTTTAGGTATGGTGGGTGTGAGGCATTTCAGTAGTATGCTGCTTCTAACTTCGATAATGTCACCTACTACTTATTGTTGTTAAGTGTTGTTGAGTCATAGATGACTCATAGCAACCCTGTGAATGAAAGACCTTGATACTTGTATAACTTTCATAATTTCTCCAAGTTCATAGGGTGTCTGGAGGCAAGCTGTTTTGGAAGTGGATGCCACTCCTGCTTCCAAGCTTGTTTTAATCAGGGAGCTCCACCAAATACTGTCCACCATGGGTAACCATTCTCACATTTGACACATTAGTGCCACAGTGTTCAGCATCACAGCAACCATGAGTTACCTCTGTACAGCAAATGGACAGATCAGAGCTATACCACGTAGAAGAAGGTTTGACCAAAAACAATTAAAACCAGCTGAATTTAAGAACTAGGGCAAGGTTCCAACTCCATGAGCTCCATCATTCCATCTACTACTTAGCTCTATGTAAAGAGATATAGAAATGTCTGTAGATGCTTCCTTCCCTGCTAGTTGGGAAGTAACAGCAGCATAATGCAGAGCACTGGTCTTCCCCATGCTGGGGCTTAAGTCTGATGACCAGTGCTCACCGTTGGCTTCTTTGCTGCTCAAGGCACTGACCTCCCTTCTTCAACACCTGGAGGCATTTTGATAATTCAACTAGAGAAAAATCAAGGCTTGCAAAAAGGTAAAGAAAAGGGACAAAACCAGAGAATGGCAGTGGCCTATCACTAAAAGACCAGAGAAGAATGCAAACTTTAACACAAAGATCAACCCATTCTTTATTATTGGGCTTTATTTCTTAAATGGAAATCAAGTATTTCTTCTTCCAAATGACCACTCTTCAAAGTGTTACTTCCAGTCCCAACATAATGGGAACCTGCCTCAGATTCCTGGGAGCCACATGGTGGGATAGGGAGCTGCAAGCATGAGCCCTGGTGTTAGTAGAGTACCCTGTGCGCCTGGTATACTTGGCTTCCTAGGACATGGCTCAGGGCCATTTCTCCTCCAGTACCTCCATTCTGGCTGGCAAATGCCACTCTGACCTGGAGACTTCTCAAGAAGGGTAGGGTCTGTGTTGACTGTGCTATCCACCATCAATCTTTGGGGATGGCCTATATCCTGATCATTCCCCAGATCCTCTTGTGAAGAGGAGGAGGAGGAAGAAGAAACCATGGGTGCTTGCACTGCTACCTCATTCTCTTTAGGACCTTCTAGTGGCAAAAGCTGTGTTGTGGGCTCCGGAAGTTCCCTGGCTGTGACCTCAGAGGTACAGTTTAGAGGCCACCAGGTGGTTCCAGCTGAGGGACAGCAGCAGAGGCAGCCCTGACACAATAGCTGGCAGCAGGCATGGGGATAGCAGGGAGGGCACAAGAATGGAGTACCCAGAGGAAACCCATTAGTGACACATCCGGTGACTGGTTCCAGCAGAGAACAGCAAGGGGCCCAGAGGAGGGGACTAGGGTGCTCCATGGTGAAAGGCTTGTGCAGCCGCTCCACAGCCATCTTCCAGATAGCTGGGGGCACCCAGATGGCCTCACCTATGGGCACTTTAGTGGTCTTGCCGTTCCAGAAGTGAATAGTCATTTTTTCATCCTTTGATTCTGCAGAATAGAAAAAGGCAAAATCCTTGGTATAATTACATATTGTTGAGGGGATATGAGTTCTCACTGCCACTCCCTCTGCTCTGTCTGCCTGGCTCTTCACACACTACTCCCTGGAGGGGCTCCTGAGAGAACATTCCCCCTCACCTCCGTGTTTCCCTGCCCCAGCCCAGTAGACTTAGAGAAGCTCTGGCAGCATAGTTCATTAGCTGCTATGCCAATAACTGAAAGGTAAGTAGTTAAAATCATCATCCTTTCTGAGGGAGAAAGATGGACAATCTCCCATAAAGATTTACAGGACCTTAAGGACCTGGTGGAGGTTGCTGAGTTGGAATTGACGTGATGGTAGTTTGATTTTGTTTCCCAGTGAGCTGAGGTGAGCCTGTTCCTGGACTACAGGATGACCTGGAGGGGACCATTTTTTCTTGTCAAAACCAAAATACAACCTGTGTTGATAGAAGGGAAATAGAAACTTCTCTCAATTACATGGCTCAGCCTGGCTATAGAGCAGAGAGAACTGGCCCTGGAAGACTTTGGTATGGGTCATGGGTATTGGTGTGAGTCGGAATAAAGGCCACTACACTACAGCTTAGCAAACCCACAAACAACGTAATAGTGTTGAACCATTCTGCCCTGATAAAAATACTTTATAATCTGATAGATTGAAGGTTGTGGACTTTTGTTGCCAACTCAGGATTGAGCTGCAAGTGAAGAGATGAAGTTGGTTGTTGATTTCATTTTTTGTTGTTATTTATGCTTTTAAAACTCCTATAGAATCAATCACCTTCTGTCTCTTCTCACCTGATGACTGGGCTAGTTCCTTCTGATAGGTAGGTCAGAGCAGCTCTCTTACCTCTCTGAGGGTCCCTGATCTTCAAGCCTAAGAGAACAGTGCCAGGGCCATAACGTTGCCCCTTTGGCTCCCAGGGGGCCAGCACCTTGTCCCCAGGTTGCAGTATGTATGCCATGGGCGGTGAAAGTGGAACAACTTCTTCTTCCAAGACCACACTATGCTGCTGGGATGACTGCTTTGGGTCTGTGACAAGGGGAACCTCAAATTCCACAAGCATCGTCCCCTGCCTCTCCAGCTGTAGGGAAAAAAGTGTCCAGAATAAGGAGAGTCAGGAGTACCAAGGATCCCCTCCAGAAGCAGGCCCAAGGTTTTTCTTGTAAGCAGTGAGGGTTATCTAAAGGAGGGACAGGGACTGATGATAGCCACTTAGAGCCGATGGCAAGTGAGGCAGGCTATGGCATCGGTTCGTCTTCCTTCTCCCTCTTTTTGCCATAAGCACCTCTTGCTGATTGCTCCCTGCCTCCTTTCTCCCATCTGTATTTCTAACCTGAAGTTGCCAGGAGTGACCAGGGCCCTCTACATCTTTCCCATTGCACTCCTCCTCCTCCTCCAATGCCCTTACTGCTGAACCAGAATTTCCCTTCTTAAGAAGTGCTATTCTTATATCTAGGGATGATATAGTACTCATTTGTGAGGCCACATGGGAGAGGTGGGTAAGGTATGTTTGTGGTCCTTACAATAGTTCTCAGCACAGTCTTCATAATCTATGAGGAAGGGCTTGACTAAACAAATGAACAGCCTTTGAGAAAGGCCATAATTAAGGTAATTAGAAGTACATGCGGCTTTTAAGTACTTACTACTATTTTGGAGAGAAACAGTCGGATTACAAATTATTTTAAATAATGAGACAAATAATCAAAAGGGTCAAAATGCAGAACAGAATTTCAAATTCTCATGGAATTCAGACTTTCTGGAGCCATGGAGATTGGATCAACTTCTGAAATTATTGCCTTAAGATAAGCTTTAAACTTTAAACCAAAAATAATCTCCTGAAGTCATCTTAAAAATCCAATAATGCCTTAAAAAAAAATCCAATAATGCCTTTGCTTAACTAACAAAAAACTGGTTAGCTTTGAGCACTATGTTCTTTTAAAAACTATCTGTATGGCGTTAAAAAGACAAAAGTAACTCAAAAGAGTAGATGACAACCTTAGGGGGGCATTGAGTTAATTATAATGGGGAAGGAACAGCTCCAAAGAGCAGAGTTCTTGAGAATGTAATCTACGTCACTAAACTGTACATGTAAAAATTGTTCAATTTTTATGTTTTGCTGCATATATTCTCAACAGTAACAACAAAATGAAATCATAATAGTAGGCATACATCAATGGTGGTTAATTATGTAAGAGACAACGTATGGGAGTGAGTCTGTCAAACACCAAGTGAATAGAAAAAATAAAATTATAATTTTTAAAAAAAAATTTTTTATTTTATTATTTTTGTGTGAGTGTACCGTCAAATCAGATCTGACTGGTACAGGAGGAGATTGTCCCTCCTTCCCCGGCAGAGCATCTGGTGGATTTGAACCGTGCACCTCTGGGATTGTAGTTGCAGCTCCTTACCACTAGGCCACCAGAACTCCCCTATAATTTTTTTTAAATCTAAATGGGTGACATAACTGGTAGCCAAATGGTTGGCAGTTCAAATCTACCGTTCAGAAGACTGCTTCTGAAAGATCTCAGCTTTAGAAACCCTATGGAGTCATTCTGCTCTGTGCACATGGAGTTACCATGAGTGTGAATAAGCTTGGTGGTAACTAATAACAACTGCTAACATTTTATTAGAATTTATATAATAGTTGGGCTTGTAAATGACATTTCTTTTGATTAAAAATTCTACTATTTTTCAAAAGAATTTGCATGACTTTAAGGTTCCACATTCATGAAATCTGACTCTGAAAAGATATTTTAAAAAAAGAAAGCTCCCCAAAGAATGAGTAGCCACTGTGGAGTCGGGCCTGGTTCCTTGCATGCCAAGTATGCTTTCTATGTAGGAACCCCCTTGGGTGAATGTGGGAAAGCACATTTGACTCCTTTTTCAGGTGAGAAAAACAAATGCTCAGCTGCTAACCAAAAGATGGGAGGTTTATATCCACCCAGAAAGACCTTGGAGTAAAGGCCTGGAGGTCTGCTTCCAAAAATTTAGCCATTGAAAACCATATGGAGTGCAGCGCTACTGTGATACCACATGGGGCCATCATGAATCAGAATGGACTTAAAGGTAACTAGTTGGTTTGATCCCTTAGGCTGGTACCCATAACTCAACATAATTGAATTTTTCCTGAAAAAAAAAAAATACATTCAATAAATATTTTCCCTTCTACAACCCAGGTGTGGCAGATCTGTGCTAAGCTAGGACCTTGAACTGCTGATGCACAGCTGATGCACGTGAGGTGTGAAGAGCTGTCAGGAGTTACTATGAGGAGGGGACTTGCCTCTGGAGCAGCTTTTATCTGAGCCCGGTAATAAAAGCCATCTGGTTCCCTTCTTGCCAAGACCCATGTGCCAACAGCACCTCCAAGTCTTCCTAGCCAGCCAGGCCCCTGCCATGCTGGGTCCACAATGTGGAGATGAGGGTAGTAAGACACATACCTGGGGAAAAGCAAATGGAATTGAAGGGTGGAGAAGACCACACTCCAAGAATATCAAGAAACATGTTTTATAATTCTGCAGAGCCACAGTATGACTGTGACATACAGCAGTACATGTAGCAGAAATCCCTGTGGAAAATGCAATCGATAACTTCCAATCTGTTGGGAGAGGATAGTGCAGGGAGCCATTGTTCAGGGGTTGGCAGTATGTCAAACTGAATGGATCAGAGTGATCAAAGTAGAACTATAGTTGATGTATTCAGATTAATTTATGGCAATCTGAGACTAGAAATAATGTCACATTAAAGCATTAAGAGAAATCCTAAGGTATAAGATCCTGGGATGATGTTGTTAAGTGCCGTCGAGTCGTAGACCACTCATAGTGACCCTATGAATGAAAGGCCTGAGCACTGTTCATAGAGTTTCTGGAGGGAAGCCATTTCAGAAGTGGATGCCACTCCTGCTTCCAGGCTTGTTTTAATCGGGAAGCTCCACCAAACCCTGTCCACCATGGGTAACCATTATCACATTTGGCACATCAATGTCACAGTGTTTAGCATCACAGCAACCACGGTTCTAGGATACAGATTCTGGGATACAGAATGAAAATATGGAGGGAACAAATTGTAAAGACACTTGTCCATTTGGGGTTTAGAAGGAGGAAAGCTTCAAGCCAGGCTAATGCATAGGGGCTTGACTAAGAAGCTCTGGGCCAGAAAAAGGAGAAACTCATTCTGAAAACTTGGGTGCAAAGGGTCAAAAGCCTTAAGAAGCTGCTAAATCAGTGTTCAGGGTTTCTGTGCAATCCCTTTTTGTAGGAAGGGGTCTGAGGGCTTACTCCTTCCTGGAACAAGATGACCTACAGGCATGAATCTAGTAGGGGAGCTTTACAGACCTTCAATCTGGGTAGACAAAATGAAGTAACATGAACATGACTCCTTGGAATTCACCCCAGTCTGAATGTGCTTATGAAGAGCCCTGATAGGGTAGTGGATAAGTATTCAGGTCTGAATCAGGTCAGTAATTCAAACCTGTTGACTGCTCCATGGGTGAACAAATTGACAGTCTACTTCTGTAAAGTATACAGTCTTGGAAACCCTATGAGGCAGCTCTGCTCTGTCATACTGGGTCACTATGAATCAGAGTCAACTTGACAGCAATGAGTTAAAAGGTATAGACTGAGAGTAGTATTCACACTTCATCCAGCTGACAGGAAGCTGTTTAGGAAGTCAGGATAATTGAGAGACACTGAAGGAAACTGAGGAGGGACAAGGATCCCACCTTAGTTGTTGGTTGTGTTGTTGTGTGCCATTGATCAGAGCCAAATTGCAGTTGACCCTGCAGGTTTTCAGAGGCTCTAAGTCCCAAAGGAGGAGATTGCTCGTCTTTCTCCTCAGTAGCTGGTAGATTAGGACCACATGCCTTTTTCGTTGGCAGTGCAACTCCTTGCCACTAAGCCACCAGAGCTCTCAAGTTGATGGTTGTAAACACCCTGATTTCTGTGAAAGGCTACAAGAAGTCTCCTAGTTGATGGTAAAATGAGCTAGAACATTTGTAAACTGTGTGAGCCTGATGTCTTCTCTCATGCATGACAACTGTGACAAACAAACTCTGTTACAGGGCCAGATAAGTGCCAAGTCATCCCTTCACGTAACTAAGAGTATGGTTTAGGCGCAGGCTGTATACTCACTTGGGTTCAGGAAAATCATAGCCACAACAGAAAAGAACCCTTCAGCTTTCCCAACAGCCACATCCTCTTCCTCCTGATACAATTCAGAGTCAAAGACAAGGAGGAAAAGGAAGGCACCTGATTCCCTTTGGTCATATGGACAGAGACAGCTACCTTGTGAGGAGGTTGTACCTGGAGAGACAGGGAGCTCGGAAAGCAAAGGGGCAGGTGAAAGCCAAGTCCCAAGGAGAAGCAGTGCTGTCCCAGAAAGGGGCCTTCAACGTTGTGGTCACACTACAGTATTTGGGCGCAGGCATCTCTGGTCCTGAGGGCAAATCCATGGTGTCAGATAATTCACCTGGGAACAACAACGCCACACCTGAGTGGTAGCCCACAGTTGAGCTGAAAGGGTCAGGGTGACGCTCAGCTCTGCAGGTGGCCTGTCCATACCCTCTTCCACGGTAATTCTGTTTCCTCTTTGAATCGTCTGTCTTGGGAATACCCACTCAGGAAGTGGGAAAGGCTTAAAGAGCAAAAGCTACCATTGTAGGGAAACTTTTACAGTTACTGGTTTCACATTTACTTTTGAGTTTCAGTTACTTCTCAGGAGATAATATATGTAAAGCACCTGGCACATAGTTAGCTCAATATATGTGGGAGTTCGGGTGTTTTTTTCCCCCTCTTTCCTTTCCCTGGTTCCAATAAGAGGGACTTCTGGGAAAGGAAGACTCATTCTTTCCTTCACAAAACCTGTGATGATGACTCATCTCCTAAACCAAGCCACCCAAATATCCTGACCTCAAACTGAGATCCCAGGGTTTAACCACCTCAAAACTGCTCATACACAACAGCTGCCAGCCAAGGTCAAGATCAAAGTCCACTCCTCCAGCCAGCCAAAGTCAGGGTCTACCCCACTAAGACTGATCCCATAAAGACTTACCCACTACCCAAAACTGCCTGCCTCCACCTCAGTCTGTTTCTGACAGTTGGGGCTCAGGGCCTCAGCCCAACTGACTCCTGGTTGCCAAGCAGGTTGCCATGGATGCAAGTCAGCAGGAACTCACCAAGTGAGTGTACTGAGCATGTGCAAAGAGATGACACAAGAGTCACTAACTCCTTTGAAGGGGTAAGAGGGACTGGGCAGGGCCTATCAAGGCAGTTGTTCAGATGGAGATCTTGATAGCAATTGGTGGTAGTGGAGGGGGCAGTTCTCAATCATTCTTTGAAGACCTTGGGAAGGAAGGGTGGAGAAAAAGGCCTCCATTCCCAAAGGCCAGGCTTCTTGACTGCTAGAAGAAGTCAGTCACATTTGGAAACTCTCATGGATCACAGGGAAGTTCTATGATGGAGACTCATCACTGTTGACTTTCCTCCATCTAGAGCCTGTAGGAAACAAGGGGCTGTGGAGAAGATACTGGCTGGTATAGGAACTTCTATAGAAGTTTCCTATCATTTAAAACAAAAGAACCGAAAGGTTAGACATGCTCTGTAACAGACATAGCTCTATGAAACTGTGGGCTGTGGTGACCACCTGGCGTGATGGAGTTCTTGTTGTGTACCATGAAGTAGGAACTGACTCACAGCTAACCCTCCAACAGGCGTTGAGAGGCAGTTAATTGCATAGGAGGAGATTGCCTGTCCTGTACAGTAACTGGTTGATCTGAATCACCTCAACCTTTGGGCTAGCAGTCCCTAGGTGTGGTGGGGTAACAACTGGAGAAAGTCCAGATTCTGCTCTGGTTGTACAACTTTGACCAGTCATTCCACTGCTCCTCACCAGATCTTGTGAAGTGTGAGGATCTCAATATCTTCTTACTACTCATTTTTATTTTGTATGTGTGTATGTAAGTCGCTCTCATTTAAGTAGCTGAGATAGCTGGGTGGGCGTTAGGGTTTCAAGTAAGTACAGGCAAACACTCCCAAATAGAAGAGAAAATGGCAAAGCATTCCAGCATGAGGAATGGCCTATATCCTGATGGGCAAGGGAGTCCTTGGTCAGACATACATAGGTGGAAGCTGCTGTCCAGTAGCATCTGGCAGTCACAATGTATAAACTATGTTTGTAGAAGAGTTCAGTGGAGAATACCAAAAAAGTATATGGGGGTATCTATAGATGTTTCCCTTTCATTCACTCCTCCCTTTCTCTAGTTTCCCACTTTGGATCCCAGTGGTTAAGTAATCTGGCTGGACCTTTATCTCCAGGAAGGAACCTATGCCAATCAACACATCCTGTCTCTTTGGCAATAATGTCTAGCTAGGACTGAGCATGTTCTGAGCATCTCTAATCAGACTGAATCCCAACTATTGTTAGGAATCCTAAAATATAGACACCCTTCTTGCTCCTATACACAAATCTCAAATGCATATAATTCTGGGAGCTTCTTATAGCCATTTTAGGACTCTGAAGTTATCCCAGAAGATATGAGATGATAGATCCCGAAACAAACCAACCAACTAATCATAAAGCAAAGCCCATCAAGGTGGTTTTTTAAAAATTCTTTTAGTGTTCATTATCTGTACATTCTATTTCTGCTTTCTACCTCTAACACCACTCCCACTTCCTGCTTCAATTACCTTATTTTCACAATAGTAGTCTCATGCAGTACTTAATATATTCTAGATTCTCCCATGTTGTGCATTTTTAATGAATATTTCATTGTTCTTTAGTGCTGCATAGTATTCTATTACATAAATATACCACACTTTCTCTATCCATTCGTTTATGGACATTTGGGTTGTTTCCATCTTCTTGCTGTTATGGATAATGCTGCAGTGAACATAGCATACATATGTCTGTTTGTGTTTCAGCTCTGATTTCCTTGTGGTATATTCCTTGTTGTTGTTGTTATTTGCCATTGAGTTGCCTGTGACTCATAGTGACCCTATGTACAACAGCTCTGAAGCCTGTCCTGTACTGAACCAGTCTCATCAACTCTGACATACCTACCCTCATTTCCCCAGTTGCTGTATCAATCCATCTCATCCGGGGTCTTCCTCTCCTGCACTGACCCTCCACCCTTCAGAGTTATGATGTCTTTCTGTAAGGACTAGCCCCTCCTGGCCATGTGTCCAAAGTTTGTGAGATGGAGCTTCAAAATCCTAGCCTCCAAGGTGAAACTTAGTTTCACCCTCTTCAAGACAGATCTATTTATTTTCTTAGTGGTCCATGTTCAAGACTCTTCTCCAGCATTACAACTTAAAGACATTGATGGTTCTTCTTTCATACTTGTCCAGCTTTCTAATGCATAGCAAGTAATTCCTAATAATGTCATAACTGGGTTATATGGGATTTCTATATTCTCCTTTCTAAGGAAATGTCAGGTTGCCCACCAAGTTATCTAAGGCAGCCTTATTACTAGAAGTTTTAGTTCTATGAGTTAATAAATTTCCTTTACTGGCTAAGTCAGTCTGCAACCAAAATCATCTTAATTAGTGCCTGTTTTCACAGAATGCAGCTTTATATTCAAGAGAATGACTGATGCTCAGACCATATACTAAAAAAACTGAATTATTTGGTGCACAAAGTTAGCGTGAGAGCCACAAAGGTCAATGAAGACTCTGGCAATGACCAGATTCCTGAATAAGCTAACTTCAATTGTGATGGTAGAAGAGAAAAAGAGGATGACATTCTGAGTGTTCCCAACATCCTGATTTTTCTCCTCTGAAGGAACGAGGCAGCTTGGAAATTAAAGTGGGTATTTCAAATGAGACAAGATTGCAGGAAATTGAACTCCACACAAATAATCCAAACAATATGGTGGTCAAAAGGAAATCCTTAGGGGTTTTGAGCTGCAGAGGGACATGAAATGCTTTAAGAAAGAACATCAGAGTGAGCTTGGAACTAGTTGAGTACTTGTTGTTAGGTGCCATCAATTCGAGTATGACTCGTAGTGACTCTATGAACAAAAGATCTGTTCCATCCTGCGCCATCCTCACGCTTCCTGACACACAAGAACCCATTGCAACAGTCACCATGTCAATCCACCCACCGTGTCAGTCCACTTAGTTGAGGACCTTCCTCTCCTTTGCCAGGTAGATCCAAAGAGATAGTTGTTAACAATGACCTCGACCTTAGGTCAGCACTGACTCTTATACAGCACTGGAATGAGTGGGATTTTTTTTTCTTCCAGATAGTTAACTTGGAAACTCATTGCCAGTTGAGTTGGAAACAACTCATACCTAACTCTCCAGCAGGAGGCTATCGATCACACTGGGAAGATTGCCCATCTTTATCTAGAAGAACTGCTGGTGAATTTGAATGGCCAGAGAGACACAATTATAGGGTTAGCAGTGCAGCTAAGAACAAGAATGTAATTTTAAAGAAAAATGTGTGTCTGGTCCAAGTCATGGTGTTTTCCATTTCTTCCTCTGCATCTGAAAGTTAGAAAATGAATAAGGATGACCTAAGAAGAATCACCGCCTTTGAACTACAGTATTGGTAAAGAATATTTACTATACCACAGGCTACCAAAAGGACAAATAGGTCTTGGAAAAATGTGCAACCACAGTGCTCCTTGGAGACAAAGGATGGTGAAACTTCATCTCACATACTTTGGTCATGTTATCAGGAGGGATCAGTCCTTGGAAAAAGACATCATTCTGGAAAAGGTGAAGGGTCAGCAAAAGAGTGAAAGACCCACAAGTAGATAGATTGACACAATGACAACAACAGTGGTCCCAAGTGTAAGGGATACAGTCAGGATGGCTTAGTGAGGCTGGTTTAGGCTTTGAGCTGTTGTTCATAGGGTCACTCTGAGTTGCTCATTTGCACCCAACAATAACAACCTGGGTTAAGGCCTTTTTCTAGATGTTAGGAATATAGGAGAAGATCCTCAAGTAATAGTTGTTGTTAGATGTCTTCTTCTAGTTGAATACAACTGATAGCGACCCTATAAGCAACAGAACTGAATCCTGTCCTATCCTGTGCCGTCCCCATCTTCTCTGACACATCCATTGAAGCAGTCACTGTGTCAATCCCTCTGGCAGCTCTCAGATGCATATGGAGTGGTTGAAAAGACCATGGCCTGGATCAGGCACACCTTTGTCTTCAAACTGACATCATCACTCCTCAGTAATTTGGAGCGGTCCCTGACCATGGATTTTCCCAATGCAATAAATACATCTCCTAATTTCCTGACCAAAGATGTTGTTAGTGGATCTCAGTAAGATGAATTAATTGACAGTTTCACTCTTTTCTCTATCTATTATGATGATGTCCCGTGGTAATAATTTTTATTTTCTCAATGTTGTGGTGTAATCTATACTGTAAGCTGTAGTCTTTGATCTTGTGCAACAAATGTCTCAAGTCCTCCTCATTTTCAGCCAGCAAGATTGTGTCATTTGCATAACCAGGTTACTGAGTTTTCTACCTATGCTGATGCCACATTCTTCTTCATAGAGTCCAGCATTGCAAATGATTTGCTCAGCATACAGATTGACTATATGTGGAGAGAGGATACAAACCTAATGCACACCTTTCCTGATTTCAAATCATGTAGTGCTCCTTTGCTCTGTTTGGATCACATCTGCCTGAGGTAGGTATAGCTTTCACATGTACACAATTAAGTGTTCTGTGATTTCCATTTTTCTCAATGTTATCCATAATTTGTTATGATCTGCACACTCACATGCCTTTGCATAGTCAATAAAACATAAATAGATATTTTCTGGTATTCTCAGATTTTAGTCAATATCCATCTGACATCAGCAATGATATCCTTGGCCTCTTCTAAACCCAGCCTGAACTTCTGGAAATTCTAGTCATTTGAGGATGATCTTCAGCAGTATTTTTGCTTGCATGCAGTATTAGTGATAATGTCTGATAATTTCTATATTCTGTTGATCACTTTTCTTGAGAGTGGAAACAAATGTGAGCCTCTTCCAGTCTGTTTGCCAGGTAGCTGTCTTTGAAATTTCCTAGCACAGACTGGTGAGCATGTCAAGGGCTACATCTGTAATTTGAAACATGTCAACTGGTATTCCATCAACCCCTGGGTCCTTACTTTTTGTCAATACTTTCAGTGTAGCTTAAACGTCTTCCTTCATTACTACTGGCTCTTGATTTGATATAGTGACTCTATATTCCCTTCATCTTCTAAAACACTTTCCAGATCTTTCAGGATTTTGCCCATAGCATGTCTCAGTATTGCAACTTGAGGCTTGAATTTGTTTTTCAGTCCTTTCAGCTTAAGAAATGCAAAGCGAGTTCTTCCCTTTTTAGTCTCTGACTGCAGTTTTTTGCACATTCTGTTATAATATTTTACTTTGTCTTCTCAAGCTGCCCTTCAAAATTTCCTATTCAGCTTTTTTACTTCAGCATTTCTTCCAGTAATAGTAAAGATGGGAAAATTGGGAAATATTTCACTGATAGTGAGGTGTGGTAGCATAGGACAAATCCTAACAAGGTCTGAAGATAGATGGGACCTGTGAGTGAAGGCAGAGAATAGAGCTGAAACTGGCCATGGAAATAGATATTTTGAAAGCAGATTCCACAATAAGAGACAGTGATTGTCATTCTCCAGAAAGCAGGGCATAGAAGCTGCACATTTTCTGAACTTTAGGACCTTGAGAATGCTGATGGTATGGACAGAAAAAAGGGAAGTAATAAATAAAAGCTATGAATACTTATGCATCAGACACTTTTTAGCCTCATGAAAAACACAATGTTGTTGTTGTTGACTGCCTTTGAGTTGAGCACAACTCATAGCGATCCTAAAAACAAAAGGCCTGAAGCCCCTCTACAACTATCGACATTTATCAAAGTTCATAGAGTTTCTGGAGGCATGTTTACTAAACATAATGGCAATTACTGTTATTATCATTCTCACTTTGTGGATGAGAAATCAAGACATGGAAGGTAGCAGAGTCTGAATTTAAACCAAAGCAGTTTTATTCCATTGTCAGCCTACTTAGCCTCTATGTTAAGCTGTGTAAGAAAGTTTTATAGCAGAAATATGACTGAAGAATTTTCAAATAATAACAAGCTTTGTCAATCATCCTTGCTTTAACTCTAAAATACTTTTCCATCATGACATAACGATGGTATAGACCTCTTAGTAGTCCCAAATAATAAAAAATATCAAACTTGGATAAGTCAAGGCAGGTTCATTGTGACAACTTAGCATGAAGCCTCTACAAAGTGCATGATAAGCATCAAGTCGTCATTTTAGACTTTAAAGTGCCTTTATGAGAACTTTTTACAGCTGAGACTCTGGCCACATATATAATAAGGAAAATAGGAGGAATAGAAAAAACTGAACTCTGTACCTGCTAAAGCTCTTGAAAGAGATGCTCAAAAGTTAAGACACATTATTGCTGAGTGAAATATCTCAGTCACAAAGGGACAAATACTGCATAGTGCCACTGTTGTAAAACAGGACTGACATCAGGGTTGGGGAGGGGGAGACTGAGAAAGATGGGTTATATAATGTACGTATACTGCATTGAAGTAGATGAGGGAGAGAACTGTTTAAAAGGGATGTGTGATTAGGTATTATTGTCATGACAGAAATCCAGAACAAAGGCTGCATAGTGGAGTGGACCTGGGGGGAAGGATTGTAAAACTAATGAAATAATTTTCCTTTTACTTTTCAAAGAGAAGAGTGTACTTGTACAATGAATGAATGAAAATCCAAAGTCTCTGTAAATTTTCATTAAAATTAATTTTTAAAAAAGACACGTTATTGTGATGTGTAGCATGTGTCAAATCCAGTTAAGCAATAGCCACCATAGGTTAGCATGTGAGCTCTATACCTACACAGAAATTACAGTTAGGGAAAAGTGTTGAATGATGATAGAAGAAATCCCATGTTGTGAAATTATTTGTTTCCATTTGGAAATATTGAGTCAAACAATTCTGAAGATGCAATCGGTTTGGTGGCTGCTGGTGGCCATTATGGTGAATCCTTTCCCAGGGTTGTCTTTGGTTACAATCTTTTCTGGGTACAGAAGAGACTGCAGGTAATTAATATACTTGATTGCAGCCCTGAGGGTTTCCACTTTGCTGAGTCGTTTCTCTAGATACTCCTCTGGCAGATGATGGCGGAGTTGGGCATAGCCTTCATTGACACATTTCACGCGCTGCCTTTCACGTTCATTCCTTTTCCGAATAAAGGCTGGTCCATAGGAGTAGTCACACCTTCTGTAATTTGGATAAGGCATTGGGAAAGAGAAGGGGCGTGGATCACCGTAATTTTCCATGATCACAGTGTCACTGGAAAAAGGCAATAATGGCAGCTCTTCAGGATAAGGAGATGGCACTGTGGTCTCAGGATACATGTGGAACATGACCATAGGGTCCAGATAAAAGGACCGGGTCAGTTGCAAATGGGCAGAATCAGGGAAGACAGACAGATTGTCTTGTAGATTAGAGTAGCTTCTACTGTCCATCATTCTCTCTTCAACCTGGAAATACAATGAAGTTTATTAATTTGGCCAGATTAGAATTGTTGTTGTTATGTACTGTCAAGTCACGACTCATAGTGACCCTATGTACAACAGCCCTAAACTCTGTCCTGTGCCAATCGCACTGTCTCTGACAGACTCATCTTGATTGTCCCAGTCACTGAATCAATCCATCTCCCAGAGGGACTTCCCCTCCTGCGCCTGCCCTCCACTCTCCCAAGCATGATGTCCCTCTCCAAGGACCAATCCCTCCTTACAATATGACCAAAGTATGTCAGACGAAGTCTCAGACTCCTTGCCTCCAAGGAGCAGCCCAGTTAACCCTCTCCAGGATGAATCTGTTTCCTTAGCAGTCTATGGCACCCTCAGCACTCTTCTCCAACACCAAAGCTCAAAAGCATCAATTCTCCTTCTGTCCTCCCTGGTCATTGTCCAGCTCTCTGACACATAACAAGTGATTGCAAAGACCATGGCCTGTACCAGATGCACTTTAGTCTCCAGAGAGACACCGTTGCTCTTCAGTACTTTAGAGAGGTGCCTAACAGCAGATTTTCCCATCGCAATACATCTTTTAATTTCCTGGCTGCTGGTGCCAAGAGTGTTGATTGTAGGGCCCAGCAGACTAAAGCTGTGAACAATCTCAATCTCTTCACCCTCCATCCTGATGCTACCAGTTGGTCCAATGGTGAGAATCTTTGTCTTCTTGACATTGAGCCTCAATCCATATTGAAGGCTGCAGTACCTGACCCTCGGCAGCAAGTGCTTCAGGTCCTCCTCAGTTACAGTAAGCAGGATTGTGTCATCTGCATAACGCAGATTGTTGATAGATCTTCCACCAATCCTGATGCCACATTTCTCCTCATAGACCCCAGCCTCCCGGATGATCTGTTCTGCATACAGGTTGAAAAGGTATGGAGACAGTACACATCCCTGGCATACGCCCTTTCCAATTTTGAACCAAGCAGTGTTTCCTTGCTCTGTTCTGACGACTGCTTCTTGGTTCAAGTATAAGTTTCACATTAGCATGATCAAGTGTTCTGGGATTCCCATTCTTCTCAGAGTC